AGGTATTAATTTTTGCATCACTCAACGTTGTAAAATATTGCATTTCAGTTCTTTACAACTTGATCGTGCTTCCCCCTTTTTGGCGGCAGAAATACGTTGTATCGGATATATTATCTTGCATGTACTACTTTATGTTGTTTACATTTGCCGTTAATCCCAACTCCAAGATGGGAGATCAAGTATTTCAGGAATTAGTTGCTGTTTATTGCATCATCATTTACAAAATGTCTTTAAACACAGTGGACTCTGCCACAGAGATGTTAAGTTATTTTGTTGCAGTGAAAGTCAGGGCATATCTTAGTTGGCAAAATAAATACTATACATGAGCAGCATCTCATTTGATTTTCTAGGTGAATGGGAGTAACTTCTCTCATGCCAAAAATGAAACCCTCTATTGGCTACTATGTCTTATTGCCTTTCTTCTATTAACCGTAATTCATTTGACAGAACCAATTTCTTTCCAATTCCATGGGGCTCAATTATAGAAGAATGATACTGACTAGTTTGGAAAGTGGATGGATCAAATATCATGATTAGTTGGAACGAATGTGGGTGCCTAAGATAAAAGCCGGTGTTCGAAATTTTTTCATCTTGGAGTTCCAAATATGTGATTGTTTTGTCAATACCTTTATTTTTGCTGTAATAAGATTGGGAGATCAGAACTTGTAGATTAAGATTAGAACTTAGCTGGGTTTACCTTGTAAGTTATTATATTTTGGTTTGCAATTTTTAGGTTTTTTCAGGTATAATTTTAACATTTTAGCAAAATTATCAATTCGACCATGATATAAAATGTAATATATGTAAATTGGAGTTTTATTGTTCATATCGTGAACTTTCGATGAGATTTAGAAATCATATTAGCCTTTTTGCTAAGATCTAGAGCGCAAGATTAAAATGGTCAGATTCTGCTCAGTACATATTCTTTGTATGGTGCATGCAAATTAGGGCATACTCAGTTTGACACGTATGCTTATGCCTGTTTATATGCTTCTCTTTAGTGAGTATGGAGTACAATTTCGCATCACTTCCTGAACTCTTGTTGATATGGATCCATGAACTTATTAAACATATATTGTTTTCAGGATCCCTGCATCCACCCTCGCTTCACACCCATTAGTGGTTACAGCTCTCTCAAGCTTGAGTGCTGATATACTCTCAGAGGCATCAGTTAATGGTACAGTGCATAGTACAAGCTAACGCCCTTTTTTTGTAAATTCCTTTCTGTGGTTGCTTCACTGCTTGTGATTTCATCTTTGCTGTTTCTTCGAAAGAAGTTTGATGAATGCACAGAATTTCACAAGTTCTCCCACGAGACTTACTGAAACTATAAGATTGTTCTGATTTCAATCTTTTGCGCACAGCTGTGGTGATGTTGCTGCTACTTATTCCCTTTCTCAATAGAATGGTTAAATCTAGTCACTCTTCTCCAAAGACTTGGATAAAATTGCTGTCTACCCCTAAGTAAAGAACTCCTTCAAGAATAAAAATGTTTTTGGTGCCATATATTGTTAGATGTTATGAATTTCAATGGGATATCTCACTCAGCTGGAAAAATGACGACAGAGTTAATAAGCTTAAAAGCTGAATCATTGCTTTCACGTCCAGCAAAATACCCTTACTTCAGTATCTGCATGTGATGATATGCTCCAAGAAGTAGATAGTGAATAGTTTCTCTTGTATGATCAATTTAATCGTGGTTTGATACCAAAAGCAAAAAGTTAGGAAGATGAATCTGAATCATGAATAAGAGAAGTTTGGATTGAACATGGAAGAGAGCAATTCGACATGTCCAGGCCTGGACTAAGGTGGACTTTTTATTTCATCCTTCCTGTTTGGGTTGATGACCTCATAATTCTTTCCAAGCTCAATAATTATGTAATTAATGACGTTTTTACTTCATGGGAAACTAGGCAACATAGATATGGGACACTGCAAGTTGGCTTTAGATGTTGGAGCGAGCTGGAGTTGATTTGTTGACACATAGAACTTGTTACCTTTGATGTGTCAGTGTAAGTGGTTTTGTTGGTCCAACAAAGCTAAGTTACTTGGAAGTATGTGGTTTTAGCAGTCTGATAATTAGTTTCTTTTATAATTGTGGATAGATTATTTTAAGGAACATCGCAGTTTTTGTGGCAGAACATTAATAGAACACTTGAGGTTACCAGTGAATGACCTGTTAAGTCCAGGCTTGTATTAGATGGTGTCAGCTGTCAAATGGAAGGTGGGTTTTGCAACACAAATCCTGCCTCAGGAGGTCATTAGACATCACCTTGTACTGGTATTCTAAGCTGTATATAGTTATTTCTTGTAGGAACTTAATAACAAAAATAACAAGTTGATAATGTTGGGCACTAAAATGTTTATTTGGCCTGAAATACAGAATTTAGGCAATGTCTAGATATGCTAGGGTGGGTGCTGAGGGCAGACCTTGTTAGTCTTCATTGGTTGGAACTCCTTATAAAGGATACTCAATGGGGCTATCTTGATTTGATGTAGATCAAGAAAATTGAACTTGGCTGTGCCAGGATGCCTTTCACCTCATGTAATTAAAGAATTGGTGTTTCCACATAAGATGAACATTAGGATTTCGTTGACCAAGATCATGCTATCTAAATGTGTACAAAACCTTGTGTTTGACTATCACTGAGGTCGATGCTACTCTCTAATATCTAAGAGACAAGTCATCAGTTTTTTAGAATGTTGTGGGTTGATTGGAAGTGGAGAGTCTGGGAGGAACTGGTAAGGTTTAACTCTGGCATGACTATGATGAAAAATTCCCAAATTTAGAGTTATGTAAGAGGGAGATGACATTTATTTCTCACATATTTTAAGATGAGGTGGTTTCACACTGTATCAAACCACAATTATCTCTAGCCCAACGGAACATCTGTCAAAGCAAGGCTATTGGGGGCTACAGGCAACCCCAACTCAAAATTAAAGACCCAGGTCTTTTTCATGCTTTGATACCATGTTTTAATAATATGGTCCCTCACATGTATTGCTCACAGTGCAGCTTGAATGTCAAGGCAACCAATTAGTTTGATAAAGCTCAAGGCTAGTCCTATACATGGTGTGGTGATTGGGCACTTGTTTATAATGTGGCTTGTTTACAATCCATGGCTTTTGATTTTGTTCTATTGCACACGCTTTGATGTTCCCTGGAATAGAGACAACTCTTCGTTTACTACCTTTGGTTCCATTCTTTGTCCCAGTTTCCAATTTTGATAACGGGAAATTCTTTACTGGAATTTTGATTTTTCTAGTGATCTTATTGATTGAAAGGTAAAGGATATGCCTTTGCATTATGTGGTCACAATTCTCTCCTTGTTAATTTTGAGCTTGTAATTTGGAAACTCTGTTGCTTTTAAGATAAAAAAAGGCATTGGCATGATCTGAGGTCCTTGGGAACATTGCCACCAAAGTCCAGTTTGATGTGTATATTTTTTTAATTGCCTGGTATTTGTGTTACATTACATTTCAACAGCATAATGAATCATTTTCCTGGTTGTGTCCTTCTGTGAAGGAGCTATGATGAAAAAAGTTGTATCCACGCATAACTCTGTCCTTCCTTCTTTATTTGACTTGTTTTAATTAGATTTATAGGAGTTAAGTATCTCAAAATAAGCTAACTGTTACATAAAAATACTACGTTATTCGAGCAGTAAGGTGAATAATTCCTTACTCCAGCTTCAGCTGTTCCTCTTTGTATGAATTGATACTAACTACTCAATTAGCTGACCTTCGATTTTGGAGATCAGAACAGAAGAACTGCTTAGTCAAATGGAATTGAGAACAATACCAATAATTTTTGGGAACAATATTTTATTCCACTTTGTATGTTTGATAGTGTGGTCTCCCTATCTTTAGTTTTAGCTGCCTTGCTTTGATACATGTTCTGTTGGGTTGGAAATTGTTTTGTTTGAATTAACTTATTCCTTCTTAGTTGCGTAAACAATTACATTTCAACTCTTTTACTTCATACAATTAATATGTTTCGTTTTCAATAAAAAGAATTTAGTCACGTTGGCCTTCTTTCTCTGTGATTGCCTTTTAATTTGTACCTTTTTTCCTAATTCAAGATTATACAATTGGCTTTCTTTTATCTACAATTATTTGGAATCAATGCATCTTAGATATAGAAGAGCTGGATGGGAGAGAGAAGAGTCAAGGATTGGTAGGGAATGAGAGGGAGAAACGTGAAAATTTTAGGGTAGAGTTGGAGAGGTTGGTGGAGATGGAAGAAGAAATAGCTTGGCGCTAGAAATCTATGGTCAAATGGTTGAAGGACGGGGATAAATGTACCCAATTTTTCCATAAGGTCGCTAATTCCAACAGGCATATCAATTTTATCACCATGTTGGAGGTTGATGGAGTTACTTATGAGGACCCACTGGACATTGGGACTCAAATTTTGAGTTTCTATCAAAATTTTTAGAGGGAGTAGTTTGACTTGAGGCTCGAGTTGGAGGGGTTGGATTTTTTTACTATCACTGAAGAGGATGCCGGCTAGTTAGAGAGACCATTTGGAGAAGATGTTCAGCATAAATGACGATAAGGCACCAGGACCGGATGGATCTTCTTTTTCATTTTATAAGGCTTGTTGGGAAGTGCGGCCGGACATTGTGTAGGTATTTACTTGTTTCTTTTAGTGGGGCAGGTTCTTGAAAAGTTCTAATGCTACATTTATTGTGCTAATTCCAAAAAAAATTGGGAGCTTCGAATATTAAAGACTTTCGTCCCATCAGCTTCGTAAGTGGGGTGCACAAGATTATTGCAAAGGTGCTGACAAATAGGTTAAAGGATGTGTTGGGGAAAGTGGTGTTTAAATTTCAAAATGCGTTTGTCGAAGGGCGACAGATATTGGATTTCATACTTATAGCAAACGAATGTATTGACTCTAGATTGCGAACAGGGGTTCCAAGGATGCTATGTAAGGTTGATATTCAAAAAGCATACGATCACGCGAACTGGGTATACCTTTTGTATATGTTCCTGTGATGTGGCTTCGGGGATAAATGGTGTCGATAGATTCAGTTTTGTATCTTTACAGTCTCCTTTTTAGTTTTGGTGAACGGCACTCCCGAGGGTTATTTTCGGAGCAACAGGGGTTTGAGACAAGGGGATCCTTTGTCTCCACTGCTGTTTGTTATCGTTATGGTGGCGTTCAGTAGGATGCTTGAGAAGGTTGTGGAGGAAGGTTTGTTGAGGGGCTTTATGGTTGACCAATTGCGAGTATCTCATTTGCTATTTGCGGACGACACATTGATTTTTTGTGATACAGATGCTGGGCAATTTAGGAACTTGCGTCGCCTGCTTCTATGCTTTGAAGCTGTATCTGGTTTGAAGATAAATTTGGGGAAATCTGAGGCTATTACAGTGGGATGTCGACAACGTAGAGGAGTTGGCGGCGATATTGGTTCTAGGGTTGCGCAGTTGCCCGTGTCATACATTGGGCTCCCCTTAGGAGCACGTTTTAAAAGTATACACATTTAGAACATCATTGTGGAAAGGGTAGAGAGGAGGTTAGCGGGTTGGAAGCATATGTAACTCTCAAAGGGAGGACGTCTTACCCTTATTGAGTTCATCCTATCGAATCTCCCTACTTATTTTTTGTCATTGTTTCCTATTTTCGTCTCAGTGGCAAAAAAGATTAGTGAGGATTCAATGAGAGTTTCTATGGGGAGGGTTAGGGTAGGAGAGGAAACTTCACTTGGTTAATTGGAGTGTTGTTTGTTCTCCCTAAAGGACAGGGGGCCTCGGACTGAGGAGTCATACTGTTTAATAAAGCTTTGCTGGGTAAGTGGTTATGGCAATTCAGTAGGGAGAGGGAAAGCTTTTGAAGAGGAATTATAGAGGCGAAATATGGTGTTATGGAGGGGGATGGTGCTCAGTCGTGGATCGTGTTCTTATGGGGTGAGCTTATGGAGGTACATTCGACAAGGATGGAGAGATTTTCGGGATAGATTGATGTATGTGGTGGGGAATGTCAATACTATCAAATTTTAGGAAGATTGTTGGTGTGGAAATCGACCGTTAAGAGTGGAATTTCCTTCTGTGTATCATGTTGCTTTGAGTCCATCTGCTATGGTGAATGAAGTCTTAAATGTACATAATGGGAACCTCAGCTGGAACATTGTTTTTGGGAGAGGTTTGCAGGATTGGGAATTGAATGAT